TTTCTTACCTCCTGTTTGATATCCAATCATTTCATTTAGATAGATTGGATATGCCGACTTTCCTTAACCTATAAACCAAATTTCGGCTTTCAATATGCCGAATTTATGATTTAACCAATGCTTATTCAAGATCATGTTTTAGTCAATTTTTTCAATTTCCACACATGTTTTAATTTTTATCTCGAAAACTATCAGAGAGTAATAGTATAATACAGTAAGTATAATATAAAAATTATGAGATATCAAAGTAGTTTTCAAAGATTTAATAATATACCGGTTGTTCCATTTAAAATAACAAATATGTTACCACTTTTAGTATGAAGAAACAACACTGTAATGCTGAAAATAATTTAGACAGGTGTCTTTATGCAAAAATCCAAATTTTCAAAAAAATCCTATCACCGGTTCTCCATAAACGTCTAACGTGCCATGACCGTGAATCACCCTGTATTTTTCTACAATTTCCAGTGTTGTGTTATTTATTAGAAAGACGTTTCCGATATTTAGTAAATAATTAAACGGTACTGAAAATTGCGATTTTGTATTGATTCAAAATTACTCTTATTATACATAAGGACCAGGCTATAGTGTGACCAACGGATCTGTAGCTACGAGGTATCGGCAGGAGAACGCAGTTGTAAACAAAACACGCCCAATTTCATTCATAAAATAGACATGGGCGTACGGTGTTATATGAAAATAATGTGTATCATAAATATAATGCTCAGATTAATAATTTTTTTCAAAAAACTTTATGCTGTTTGAATCGTTACTGTTGAGTTAGCAGATAAACACTAAAAGCTTTTATTAAAGCTCCCTTAAATATTTTGAATCATTTTATTATTGCGTTGTTAATATAATAGAAGAAATAATTACAGCTGGGGGTTGGAGCCTTTGGTGTTACACAGCAAAATAAAACACTAAGTCAGTACAATACACCAAAACACTTTTAATTTTACACTGGACGCACGTCTCGCTAACCATGTCTGCCATCAGCAGATGATCAAGACTGAGTCTTGAGGTAATATTTATTTATATATCTGTACTAACTAAATTTTTTTCTATAATACATAATTTTAGATATAACTATTTCCAGCAAAAAAAATCTTGAAAATAGTTAACTTTGGAAGCGCAAACAAAACATAATTTTACTCACCAGTAGATCCAATATTGCCTATTACACCAGATATGGTATCGCTCCGCCAGCAGTTTTAAAAGGTTAGGTCATTGTCTACCCATATGTTTCATCCAAATAGATAATACTTGGCTATATTCTCGAATTTCGCGTATATATTTATATCTCTCTCTGCAATATAATGGGCCGCTCCATTAATATTTATCTGTTATTTTGACATTTACGCCAAAAAAATTCATTTGATTTTAATAACCCCTAAGCGTTTCCCTGCAAAAGGAAAATTCGATTCTTCCTGCAATTTTTGCAAAAGCTTTCTAATTGTGGGGACGAGTTTGAATTCGAGATAAAATCTATTTATCAAATTCCTGACCACTTCGAAAAAGTCGTCGAGCTTTTCGACAGCAGTCTCACGTGGTCGTTTCTTTCCAAAGCTGGATCATTTTATCGGGGTTAGTTTTCAGCCTTTTTTTTATCTTCTGTGTGAATTTTTTTATAGCCGATACGCTAACTCCGGTATAAAGAAATATCCGCCGCTCAAGTTTACGTTTAAGCGGCAACTTAAGCGAACTCTCTGTAGCTTCTTCATCGCAAACCCTATTATGAACACAAGGAAATAACCAAATGAGATTTCATCCACGTTATTATTAACTTACCTATATAAATTAGCTATTATTTCTCTTGTCTGACTATATAGTGTCTTACCCTTAACAATTTTATTCATTTTAAAACACAAATATACGATCAAACTTGATATTAATAATTAAAAACTACGAACGAAAAACATTATAACAAGATAACAAAACAATAAAACACAACTTAACTATCAAATATTCGAAAAATATAGGAATAACGTTTAGGATAACCGGTATAAAATAATGAAATAAAGTAATAATGATCAAAAAAATGACACCGCCACTGGATATTTCAATAGTATTCAATATTCCTACTCTTTTCAGAAGAGACCGTGAAGTTGGGGATAAAGCAAGCGAATAGGAAAGGCGTAAAAGCCATGGCAACCACGTGGTAACAAATCCTGTGACGTACTCTCGCCAATCATGTTCGATGAATAGGCGGCCATGCGCGGCGATGCCGGTTGGGCAATGATATCGTTGAAAAATCTTCAACTTTCATAATAAGCAGATTATACAGAATGAAAGAAATAAGTTATTAAATAAAACATATCGAACAATATGAACTACGTTAAAATTCCTCAGTAATATACGTCAGAATATATGCTAAACACATTATATATAATAAAAATATATTAAATTTATAGTTCATGTCTGGCAATTTTGCAATTTTATAGATAAACGTGGCAATATTGATTTTTTTTTCTCGCATTCTTTCCGTAGCTTCAGATCCGCTGGTCAAACAGTACTAGTAACATAGCAAGTTGCCGGACGAATTTACGTTTACCCGATTGCGTTACTCGAGATTCGTACTCGAGATTCACTGCCGGCTACTCGGCTGGTCAGGCAGTAAGCAGTTGCAGTTGTGCTTGGACGGGTCGGTCGTTACAGACTAGGAATACGACGCGAGGAGTGCCGAGTATTTATTATTTTCATTTTAAGTGTTTACCTTCATTTAAGGTAACATTTAAAATAAAAATACTTAAATATTCATTATTTGAGGGTCTTTACAAGCCAAAACTAAAAATAAATAAATTCTGTAAACCCAAAACTCATTTCCAAAATTAAAAAATACATCAATAAAATAAAAAAAAATAAAATATTACTCTAAATAAAAAAATGTTATATAGTAAACGCCACGAATGTTTGGGAGTGATTCATCGGTCTCTACCATGTGAACTAATCTGTTCAAGGTCACATAAAACTTAATTCCAGTGCCGTGATGTTTCAAGTCATATAATAATCAATATATAATCTGTTGTAATTTGTTGTTTTAACTGTCAAAGTCTTGTCAAAACATATATTTGGTTATAAATATAAACTGGAATGCCCCATTGGTCGCACTGCAAGCACACCAATGGAATGACGCACAAAATCGAATCAATCAAAGAAACGCGATATAGTATCGTCTTTGTCAATCACGCTAACATTTTAGAATAAGTAGGAGGAGCGCAGGCAGATGATTAGACCGGGCCTTTAAAAACCTACGTCTGCGGTAAAAATTTACGTTTTTAATGTAAAAATGATAGCGCGCGTGTCGATTCTAACTTCATCAAGCGATGAATCACTCCCAAACATTTGTGGCGTTTACTTTAACAAGTGTTTAAAAAGATCACCTTCTTGTGCTAGACAGAAGCAAAATCCCGGTCTGACATTGGCTAACATATTAGGGCTAATAGTTTGGAAAGCCGCTCGTATTTTTACTTGAAGCTCATCCAGATTATTAGCCCTATTATGACCATACACTTTGGATTTTACATAACCCCACAAAAAGAAATCATTGGGAAAAAGATCTGGTGATCTAGCGGACCACAAAATAGTTCCATGTCCACTAATTAAACGGTTGGGAAAACTATTGTTCAAATATTCTTGAACAATACGGGCACTGTGGGCAGGGCAACCATCTTGTTGAAACCAAACATTGTGGAATCTTTTTCCCAATAACTCACGAATTCTAGGGACAATCTGCTGCTGTAACAAGTCCAAATACTTTGCAACAGTTAAATTACCCTCTATAAAAAATGGACCAATCATATGCTCCCCTAAAAAACCACCCTAAACATTTAGCTTTTGAGGATATTGCGTGCGTACCACAAAACATCTGTGCAAATTTTCCCGAGACCAATATCGTACTTGTGTAGGGTTATGACGACTCAATAAATGAAAACTTGATTCGTCGGTGAAAACTATACGCCGAATAAAGTTTTCATCTAAATTGGCCTTTTCCATTACAGATTCACAAAATGCCATACGCCGAAATTGGTCTTCATGGAAAATTTCTTGAGTTTTGCGCGCTTTATACGATCGGTATCCATTCTTTTTAAGGACTCTTTTAACCATGCTAGGTGAAGAATCTGTTACCTCAGCAATTTGATTACTTGAAAACGTGGGATTTTGTTCCGCGGGAGCACAAATGAACACTTGCTTTAACTCCTGTTCTTCATTAATCAACACATCAGACTTTTTGTGTTTTTGTGGGGACACGCACTCATGTGTTTCAAAATTATTAATAACTCTTGATATAGTAGGTAAAGATGGAATTGGCCTGTTTACAAAAGTTTGTGGAAAAATTGTTTGTATATCGCGATAAGACCTATTTTGGAAATACCATTTTAGAATTTGATTTTTCTCACGAACTTCGTAAACATCCATTATTTAACTTAAAAAATAAATTTTACACGAGAGCTGTCGCGAGAATCTATGTATTCGTTTTGGCTATTAAAACACGAATAAATACTGAAAAAAAAATAAATTCTGAAACATTCTTATCACATATCTACCTATTTTTATTTTATCGCATTTATTCGCTTGCTTTTTAGCGGACGGATATACGCTAATTCGTCCGGTTTTGCCTATGTTACTACTAAGGTGGTCCGGTCTGTATATTACTCCTACATTAGCCCTTATTACTCCTTACTCTCCTTTTCAATGTTAAATACTCTAGCTGAAATTGAAAAATTGTATGCTTTACATTGAAAAATATGTCGATTTCACAAATAACAAAGTCAAAACTTGTAAATTTTCAAGAAGATAAAAAAAGCTTAAAAAATACATCAATGTATTCATATAATTTGATAAAAAAATTTAATCGGTAATTTATTTTTTTTATATATATATATATATATATATATATATATATATATATATATATATATATATATATATATATATATATATATATATATATATATATATATATATATATATATATATACCGACCTCTTGGGCTTCAGAGGTTACTGTTCTTCTCCAGGTATTCCTTGGTCTTCCCCTGGCACGTCTTCCCTGTTGATTCCATTCAAGTGCCTGTCTAGCGATATCTCTGTGGGGTCTGCGCAAAATGTGCCCAATCCAGCCCCACTTTCTTTTCTTAATTTCGATATCTATTCGATTTTGTGATGTTTTTCTCCACAGTTCTTCGTTGTTAATTTGATTGGGCCAGAAAATTCTCAATATTCTTCGAAGACACTTGTTAACAAACACCTGTAGGCGATCCATGAGACCACGCGTAACCTTCCATGTTTCGCATCCATAAAGCAAAATAGATTTGACATTGCTATTGAAGAGCTGGACTTTAGTTTTTTTGCTATATATAGAGGAATTCCACACAGGTGTAAGCATGCCAGAAGCTCTTTGTGCCTTCAAAATCCTTTCCTCTATATATTTCTCTGTGCCCCCATCGCAGTGAACCATACTTTCCAGGTACTGAAATTCATCAACTCTTTCGATGGCTCGGTTGGAGAGGTATAGATCTTGGTTGTTGGGAGTATTTGACCTCATTTCTTTGGTTTTCGCCACGTTGATTTGAAGACCGACATTATTAGCTTCCTCTTGGAGTCTAAGAAGTTTTTGAGACATATCCGAATGTGAATGGGAAAAGATGCATAGATCGTCTGCGTAATCCAGGTCTTCTAGCCTGCTTAACAGTCCCCATTGTATCCCTAGTGGTTCTTTAAATGCTCTATTTAGTACTACATCCAGAACGATGTTAAAGAGTAGCGGCGAAAGTATACACCCCTGTTTTACACCTACTGCAATAGAAATTTTCTCCCCCACTTGACCTTTATGTAATACACAGCTTGTAGCATCATGATAAAGCATTTTAATCATGCGGATTATTTTTTCGGGTACCTATTCCTTTTTCTCTCAAAGCTTTCCAGATGGCTATGTGTTTTATAGTATCGAATGCTCTTTGAAAATCCACGAACACCATGTATAATGGCGATCTGAACTCTTGAGATTGCTCTATTATTATTCTGAGAGTATTAATTTGGTCGATACATGATCTTTGAGGCCTAAAGCCTGCTTGTTCTTTTCTCAAAGTCGGTTCAAGGGCATCTGATATTCTTTTTTGGATGACTGTAGCGATTATCTTGTTAATGGTGTTAAGTAAGGTAATGCCTCGCCAGTTCTTACACTGGGATAAGTCGCCCTTCTTCATCAATCGTCGTACCTCATCAATATCATTTGTTACCTGTTGAGGCTCACTAAAAAATTCTGTCCATCTATGCAGCTGATCCTCTTTTGAGGTCAGTATATTTCCTTCTTTATAATTTATTTTAGCATCAGCATTAATCACTAATACATAATTTGCTTACACAGTTTCGGCAACTATTTCAATCATTGTTGATTGTTTTCTATATTGTCGATAAAAGCCATAACTAAATACTTTTTAAATTGTGCACTATTTATTTAAAACAGTTTTTTATAAATAACTGAATAAACGCACCATTATAAAAACAGAAAAATAAGTATAGAAATACTTTTATAATTTATTTCCTTTGAAATTCAAATCTTCCATTATCTCCTTTGAACAGGTCTCACGTTTCTATAAAGCAAATTTTCAGTTTGATTTTCTTGGCTTACGACCTTTTCAACAGCTATCCAACATTACGGTCGGAACCAATTTTAAATGTCAACGGTTGTTAAGAGTGACTTAGATGGATTATTAGTAGCTAATGTTTATTTTATAACTCCCTTAAAGACCCAGATTCAAGCAATTTGGAACGCAGTTATTGTTTTGGGCATAATGTGGGAGAGTATGATTAACCGATTCTTGTTCCGAGGTTTATGAATTATTTATTTATCACTCTTTTATATTAATTAGTAGTGGGAACTATCGAATGAATACTATCGAAACATTCGATAGTTACAATTCATTCGAATAATTCGATAGCTAGTAAGAAAACATTCGTCGAAAACTATTCGAATAAAAATTATCGAATAGATGCGTCATCTGCCTTGAAATATTGTATTCTAGTAATTCGGCAGCAAAAACCATTCATTTATCAAATTCATTTATTGGTCAGGATCGATTTTAATAAAATATAAACTGGATTTTAGTTGTCGTCCGGCGACGTAGGTTTCTTTCCTAGAAACCCGACAGCGGTCGGTGGCCATGCTATGAAAGAAGCCGGCGTCTTTGATTTTTTGCGGAGTCAAATAATGATAAGGACACATTATTTTTTTTATTGAGGTGCTAGTATTTACACAGAAAATACATTATGAAGGGCGCTGTTGCCATATATTCGTATTAGTTGGTATTAACAAAGAATATTATTCTTTAGCATTAGTTAGTTAGGGATAGTATATCTATATATGTTTTGCATTTTTTTATTAATATTCTGTTGTTACACTGCAATAATACTTTTTATTTTGGATGTAGAAAAATGATTTTTAATGTTTTTAAGCAAAGACTGGTTTTATAAATAATAATAGCAGTAAAAATTTGTTATACCTATTAACAACAAAATTTAAAATCATTTAATAATATAAACATTTTTTTAAGTAGTAGCAAAATATAAACAACAAATAGAAGTCAAAAGTATTTATATTAGATCCTATTTAAAAATAATATAGTCTCTAAATGGCAACGTTGGTTTATTAAATAATAATAATTACAGAAATAATTTGTTATATTAACAACAAATTTTAAAATCATGAAATATAAACATTTATTAATTTTCTAAGCATGCAGTGTAATGGAAGGAAAATATAAATAAAAAATTAGAAATCAAAATTATTTATACTACTTTTTATTGCTTTAAATTATATATTTAAAAATAATATTTACTTTTACTGGCATTTACTTTAAAAAATAAATGAAATATTTCTTCGCAAAAAACTACATGTAAGTGAATTAGAATAAACAAAATACAAACATTGTTAACTTTTTTTTAAAATTGGCACGTGTAAAACTTTCAATTTAATTTTATCACCCCAAAATTTGAGTTCGATAACCTCTTTTACTTAACCACATTACTTAAATATGATTATTAAGTTCAACTAATTCATATTATTAAAACATCTAAAATACAAATATGTATTTTAAAATTAATTGTAAGTTCATCTCATCTCTCTTAAAAATTGCTACTTCTCAAAATTTCCCATTAAAAAAATGCCTATTATATATAACCTAACCATAATATACCATATAAAATTAAATAATTGAAAGATCGGGCTACGGAAAATCACACAAATTTTCGGAAAAATTTTGACCACTTCGCACACAATCGTCAATTAAAAAAAAACTACTATTTTAGTATTTTAAATATTTTAATAAACGCAAAAATAGCATAGTATTTACAAGGCGAAGTTATAAAAATTTGGAAAAACTAATAATGCACTGACGCACACAAAAATCAAATGAATACTAAATTTCATTTATCAAAAGCATTCGATAGTCGTGGCTCGTGGCGCAACGATAACCATTTAGTCGCACGGCGAGGTTGTCACATATGCTTTAGTATACAAATGAATGAATGATTTTATTCGAATAAAACTATTCGATAGTTGAAATCATTCATTCAGGAACCATTCGATAGTCTAATTCATTCGATAGTTCTCATCGCTAATATTAATAGTCATGTTTCGTACAGTAAATACAGCTGGGGAATGATAATCGATGATAATTTTGGCGAGATCAAGCCTTCTTTATTTTTTAATGGCCCTTACTTCCGGTTGGCCTTAAGTAGATTTTAACTTATTTTTATATACAGGGTGGTCCGAACTGTATTCCGGAAACTTTGGCAGCATATTCTGCGGATAAAAATAAGTAAAAAAGTTCGTAGAAACTTATGTCCTAAAATGCTTACTTTCGGAGATACAGGGTGTAGAACTTTCATTTTCATTTCGATTTTTTCCAAATAATTTGTGAAGTATAGTCAATATTTGGATGAAAATTGGTGTCTGGGAGTATTTTGACGTGAGAAATTTGATTTTGATGTCAACATGACTCCTATTTGTAGGGGGCGCCACCTACATGTGTTTTAACTGTTTTGAAGAATAATAACTTTTCGTCCGTACCTGTATAAAACTACTAAGTAGAAAAATATGCATTTACTCTATTTTTAAGGTAAAAAAGGTCTCTTGGTAAAAATCGCTACGAGTAATAGTTCTCGAGATATTTAGAATTGAAATTGTCAATGTCTGTCATCATTGACATAAATTAAACATATGTTAACTAAATAGTTATTAGACTGAAATCATAAATTTGAAATGTTTTTGTGTTAAAAGTTGAACAGAAACTGTTTTATTATAATTTTTTCGCAGAAAAACATGATTAATTTAAAAAATAAAAAAAAATGAGATTTATTATTTCAGTCAAATAAGTATCTGCTCAACCTGTTGATTTTTTTGTCATTAATGACATGTATTGACTATTTCCATTCTAAATATCTTGAGAACGGTTGCTTGTAGCGATTTTTACCAAGAGACATTTTTCACGTAAAAAGTCACGGAAATGTATATTTTTTTACTCAGTAATTTGATACAGGTGGGGACGAAAAGTTGTTACTATTAAACACATGTAGGCGGCGCCCACTACGAATAGGAGTCAGTATTTGAGTTAGTATTTGAAGGAAAAGAACAAAAAGTGATATGAGAACGGTTTCAAACTACTTGAAATGCAATTTTTAACTAAAACGATGACAAAATGTTTGTTTTAGATTCAAAGAACAATCCATTATATACATTGCGAGTTTACTTAAAAAAGTAAAACTGATGTTGAAGCTCTGATGTTAAAGTTAATATGTTCTTAAAGTTCGTGGATAGTCTTTGCCTGTCTTCTTTTTTGATTAGGTTCTTCGATGCAGTCAACCATTTCCATACTGCCTTCAACACGTGAAAGAAACAAAGCAGCAGCTCTGCCTGTGGCCAATGTTTTTTTAAAACACTTCTTTCCCTGAGATCATCGTCGGTTAATATTATTTTTGGAGAAACTTTCTGAGGCATGATTGCCTTTAAATTCTTAATTACTTGATTACTAGAAATTAGAATTACTAGAAATGATACACCCAACTCGAATGTCTCCTACTGGAGACTGCGTTGCAAAAAAGTAAATCTTGTGGTTTTGCACGTCGCAGTTTCCTGATGCATCAACAAATAAAATTTCTGTTGCCTGTGTAAGGTAGTGAGCAGCTCGTTGCATAATTGGTGTGCATAAACAGATCGTATAATTATCACCAACACGAATAATTTTAGAAAGAGTGCTTTTATTTTTTTGTAAGTTATTTTCTAAAGCTAAGAGCATGCCTTTTCCAATTCGTTCTCCATAGTTGTTTTTGAAATGTGCCGTCCATAAATTTGAAAAATCGGTTTTAGTTGGAAAAAAGTGCCTGTCTAAAATCATTTCTTCGTACTTGTCGCCCATTTCTTCCATCTTAATACTAGTGAATGGGTGATAGGCAGTTGCAGTAGTATGTCTCTTCTCAAATAGCTCGAAAATATATTTTTTTGTTTCGCTATCTATAGGGCTTTTTAACAAGGCTGCTCCGCTATCTATTGTGTGATTATGTTCTTCGTAAAAAATCACAACACAAGGCCATGTACTTGCAGTATCCATGGCCTTTTCTATTAAAATTCTCATTTTTGCAGGACAGTCGATATTACGATACTTTTTTGTTGTACGCGATTGATTAACTTTAAAATGACAATGGTAAGAGCGTCTAAATATGTTTTTTAGATTTTTTCAACGGTGTAACAGTCGTGGTAGGTTGCCAACTAATTTTTGTTAAATCTCCTAATTCGGTTACCCATTTCTGTAATAAATTATATAATAACAACATGCAAAGCCAAATTTTTAAATGAATAATTTGAAGACTAAACAACAAACTATGTCGGACGGCATAACTACCAACGTTAGTTCAATTCAATCATATTTTCCAAACGCTAGGCTCAAACGCGAATTCAGCCGTATAAACTGCCAACGTTAGTTCAATGTAATCATATTTTGCAAACGTTAGGCTCGAAAGCTTGCGACTTTATTGAACGCAAACGTTAGGCTCGAACGTTAGGCTCGAACGCTTGCGACTTTAGCCGAATATCGTATTACGTTGGCAGAATATGAATATGCGAACGGTTGCTCGTAGCGATTTTTACCAAGAGGCATTTTTTACGTAAGGAGTCACGGAAATGTATATTTTTTCACTCAGTAGTTTTATACAGGTACGGACGAAAAGTTATTACTCTTCAAAGCAGTTAAAACATATTTAGGTGGCGCCCCCTACAAATAAGGGTCATATTGGCATCAAAATCAAATTTTTTATGTCAAAAAACTCCCAGACACCAATTTTAAATTAAATACTGATGTTACTTTAGAAATTATTTGGAAAAAATCGAAATAAATGGCACTTCTACACCCTGTATCTCCGAAACTAAGCATTTTTGGACATACATTTATACGAACTTTTTTACTTATATTTTTATCTGTAGAATATGCTGCCGAAGTTTCCGGAATACAGTTCGGACCACCCTGTAGAGTAAAAATTATTTTTAAACGGTGTATTTTATACAGGGTTATTCACAACATACGACACGGAGTATTGTAGCTAAACGAATATATTTTTACAAATTGTCAGTTTTGGGTTCGTTGAAGGACTATTAGAGCTACAATTTAAAAATATTTTTACAAGATACAGAGTGTCCTACATAAATGAAAAATATCTAAGTTGTATTTTTTTAGATGAAACACCCTGCATATTATTACATTTTTAGTTTCTACGATTTAAATAAAGGTATATTTGGTTAAGGTTTACTGCATTTTAATCTTGCCGTTTTTGAAATACTTACATTTTTGTCAAAATACAGTAACAGTTTTAATGCTTCATTTCTCTAGGCGGATTTAAGTTTTTAAAACCAAATATTGTACTGAAGTTTTTCTCTTTACGAAATTTTGTGTTGCAATAATACAAATTATACTACCTTATACAGAGCGCCTAAAAATTTATTTAAATATTTACTAGCTTTCAACGGCAATAGCTTCTTTAATTTAAATGTAAGTGTCTACTAAGGCTGGCAAAGGTTAGTCTTGGGCGAGATTTCCGTATGTAAGAAGAGTACAATGCGTTTATAATGTACTGAACAAAGAGAGGACAGTAAGCACGTTGCCAAACGTATGAAATAAACCGAGAAACTGTGCACATCGCTAAGAGACGTGGAAGGGGATATAGCAGATTTGTCACAGTTGACCGGTCGACCCAATCAATACCTCTGTCAGTTCTAGGGAAAGGTGTACGTCATGCGTTCAGCTTCACGATTTAATTACGTCTCGTGATACTTAATTTGTTTATTTATTAAAAAGAAGTCGTTGTAATTTTCCCTATAGCTTGATTTTTTTTAAGTGCAAGCTAGAAACACTTGCATTTTTGGTAAAAATAAGTAGAATTGAGTGGGTGTTCGATAGTGGTCGCGCTATTATAACTCTTAATTCAAAAATCGATATCTCGAAATCTATTAGAAATAATAGATCGTAATTTTTTCAAGAACTTTGCTGCTGTATTTTCTTTGGAGACAGTATGTGAAAATCTTTATCAATAAAAAAATGACACGATTGCTGAAAATTGCTATGCTCTAAAAGCAAATGGATGGATTGTTTACAATTTTTGAAAGGAAAAAACAACCTTATCGAATTTTTCTTATGTAAACATATTGTAAAATATCCGATCTTGAAAATAAAAAAAGTTTCAATATCTAAAGTGGTTCTTGAGTTATGGCCCGTTATGTGTTAAAAAGTTGAGTTTATAAATTATCGCAATTACTGACGTTTTCTCGATAATTTAATAAAAAAAATGACACCCTAACGATATCCTTATACTTCCATTTCAGATGCTCAGAAACATGTCTAATGATTTTATCTAGTTATCTCTTGAAAAAAAGTATTTTAAAAATAAGCGGTTTGCTATCGTGGTTTTACTTTACTTGATAGGGAAAGGCGTACCGTCAACGCCGCAACAGCACACCGTCGCATTTCTTTCACTCCGACTTAATAAGATCCCTATGCGATTTACTTCCACACATGTAAATGCGGACCCAAAAGTAACAGTTGCCAGCACGGTATATAATTCGCTTATTTCATTAAAAAATAAAGAACATTGATTTGATCCCGTTTTTTTTCGACCATAGATAGATTTTTCATACCTACATAAACTATTTGACTGAGAAACAAGCTCCTATCAGTTATTTCTACTTCTAGCACAAAAGTCTGCTGCTATTGATTAAAAATGATGATTTTTCTTTCATCTAGAGGGCTGAAAACCTTGTACACATTTAAAAAAAAATACGTAGACCTGTGCTAGATGGAAAATTTTCTTGCGTTGTTATTATTTGACATTGAATTTTTTACAGCCATTTAAGATGCACTAAAAATACAAGCTTTTTCACTTATTTTTCTCTTTCTTCTCGTCAATTTTTATAATTCGTAAACAAACAACCTCATATTTTTCTTATTCTTTATTTTAGATTTTTTCATCCGTTTATATTTCTCAATGTTTGGACTGGAAAAACAAGACGCTGGAAAAACAGAACCCAATATTTCGCCTTTATCGAAAATTCTCCTTTATGTAAAATATGGGTCGGTGGATTTATTTCATACCGCCATATATTTTTTTGTTGAAATCGTTTTTTGTCTTTTCTTTAACAAACATTTAGACAGCTATTGACTCTGAAATCCAGCACAGGATTAGCAGAGCCTCAAGAGCATTCTGGAAATTATAAAACAGGGTTTTCTACAATCATGACTTGAGCGCAAAAACTAAACTTGCAGTGTACCGGGCAATAATAATCCCCACCATTCTATATGGAAGCAAAACCTGGGTACCGCGGCCATACCGCCGACACATGAATGCCTTGTTACAACAGAGACACCTTAAGCCGCGTACACATCTGAGCAAACAAACCGAATGAGCACTTTTAGTCTAATGAGCATTCATTCCGGCGAATTGTGTTTTCTCCGCACAGAACCGCATGAGCCTGCATTCGGAGGCGCTCCAGTGTTTGTGTCCGAATTTAGGGAGAAACATGGAACATTTAGGAGTATAGTGCTGCGTTCACTCATTTATGAGTTGCTAAAGAAAAAAAGACGACGACGTCGTACTAGATGGTCTTCACAATTATATCTTCAAAGAAGTCGAGATTGGAGCCTTAACAGTTCTTTTTTATTGCACGACATCCGATGGCAGGCGATTTAAAAAATTCACAAGAATGTCAGAAAGTGATTTTTCATTTCTTCTAAATGACATTAAGGACAAAATATCCAGAAGAGATACGTACTTCCGAAAGGCGATTCCGGTAGAAGAACGTTTGGCGTTGACATTACAGTTCCTCGCAAGTGATGATTCTTTTACTAGTTTGCAGTGTATGTGGAAAATATTTAAAGAGCTGATATCCGAAATAGTTCCTGAAGTCTGCCAGGTTGTCTCTTCAGTTTTCCAGCAATTTCCCTCCAAGCATCTTCTTTTTTAATTTTATTGAAATACAGCTCATGTTTAACTTTTCATAAAATAGGCCTTTTATCAAATTCTTTGATTAATTGCAAACACCTGTCTTGCGAAAAATCCATGTCGTACGAGGCCGTTTGGTTGCGACGGTGTGTGATACGCTACTAAAAACTTGTCCAGACTGAGCACGAATTTCCTTTGATGGACCGACAACTCTCGGATCGGCTGGCGCACCCCATGAGCGTGTTCAGCGCAGTGCGTGCGTCTGTCTACATTTGAATGCTCATTCGGTTCGTTTGCTCAGATGTGTACGCGGCTTTAGACAACTCTTAAGAATCAACCATCATGAAAATTAGGATTTTATTAAAAATATGATGAGCGATACAGTTGAGGGTTGGAACCTTTGGTGTTACACAGTAAAATAAAACACTAAATCACCACAATACACCAAAACACTTTTACTTTTACACTGGACGCGCGTTTCGCTAACCATGTTAGCATCATCAGCAGATGATTATAAGCTAAAATACTATCTACAATTGGAGCGTTTATATACTTGCTCAGTGGGCACAGAGTGGGCGTGGCAAGATCTAGCCAACCGAGTCAGAGCCCACCGAACGTAACAGTTAGATTTCCGCCACTAGAGTAGTAGGAACAAAGAACTTGAAGGAATTGGACCGTTGTCTCTGTTCATACTATCTTTACATTTATTAATTCTGAAGTTTTCATATGCATCTAATTGACTGTAATTTGAGACTTGTTTAAGTAATTTTAAGTTATTAAGATCTATACAATGTTCTTTATCAACAATATGTTCGGAAACGCAAGATTTATCAGGTCTACCATATATTATCTGAGCTAAATATTCTTTAAATCTAGTTAATATTGATCTTCTAGTTTGCCCAACATATTTCTGATTACAATCTTTACAAGAAATTTCATAAATACCCGACCTTTCCAGTAGAGGTGTTTTATCCTTTGGATTACCTAATAATTGTTGTAATTGATTATTAGCACTATACACAAGTTTATAATTGACATTCTTAAAAATTCCTTTTAGACCACGGGATAACTGTCTATCAAACGGTATTGAAAAATATTTTGACGTATCTTTCTCCACTTGAAAAGTCGAATTTTCAGAAATCATTAACCT